TTTATGAATTTCTCTGAGGTGTGGTTGATATGGAATGTTCTGAAGTAATATTTTCAACGTTTCTTCTTCATTTTACAGCTGCTTCCTCAGATCATCCTAGCTGAAGCATGTTTGCAAAGGAAAGTTGCTTTGGAAGTGGGAACTTTCCACAAATTCATTTTCTTTTCTTTAAAGAAGAAAAAAAAACAACCACCAAACCGAGCCTACAAAAGCCATTATTTAAACAGCCTCCTTTTTGAAATGTTTCCGGCAGATGTTTATGTAGAGAATGTGCTGGAGCTCCTTCAGTAAGACACAGAAGTGACATTTCTTGAGGGTTTTAGCTGGAGAATTTGTCTTTCACATCATGTCTTTAAACATCTGCAAAAGGCAACAGAATCTTTATTATCCTGCTAACTTGAAGAAAGGCGCAATGCACAGTCCTGAGTCCTTAAAAAATGGTATTTAATGGGACTGACAGATGAGAAATATCCAGCTCTAATGTTTTCCTTCAGTAGAAATTCACCTCTTGACCTTATGACTCCAGAGTACGGCTGCTGCCTTCTAAAAAAGAACATTTCCTTCCATTCAGATGTGCTTTCTATGGTTTTGTTGTTTTGTTTTTCCTTATTGCTCAGTTATTTGCTTTAGGGGAAGGTATCATCATCAAGATTCAAGCAAAAATAAGATTATAAATACTGCAAGCGCACTGTGCTAGGTCTGGTTTATGGCACTTGTGCTTCCAACCCTCTTTTAATTTCCTCAGTTGGATATTTTTCTTCTTCCTCACAAAAATCAAAGCTCCCTTTTCTTTTAAATGGATTTTCAAAGAGGGGTATAATTCAGCTTTCCTATTCCTTTGCTGGAGTTTGGTTATTTGCTGTTGTGCAGAAAATATGGACTAGGGCCATTGCTCAGGGCTACTCAGGTTGGCCCTTCTACCTTACAAAATAACCTTTTCAAGAAGAATTCCATTTATCTTTTGGTTTTCTGGATTGTTTCAGGTTCAGGTTGGAGGGGGGCAAGGTTTGCCTGTGGGTTTTTGTATTTGGGCTCTATTGTATTCTGGTTGTTGAAGCTTTTTTCCCTCCTCCTCCTTCTTCCTTTTCTCTTTTCTTTTCTTTTTTTTTTTTTTCCTTTTTTTCCCCTTCCTCAAGGGTTTTCTCTGGGAAAAGTTTTCTGGGCTTCCATCCAGCCAGTGTCACAATTCACAGCTGTACTGTTTGATTCAAGTACTTCAAGCTGCCAGTGAGGTAGAGCCAAATGAGATTAAGGGCTTTTTTATTAAAGCAAGCACCCGCATGTGCTGGTATGGTCGAGGCTACGTCAGACGTTCCAATACGAACCCCAATTTCTGGAGACCTTTAGTTCTCAAACATAAAATATTTATGCCAGGCTGAAACCTGACCTAGATGTACTCATCTGGGAGGAGTTGTAACTCTTTGCAAAGAAATGGTTTGGCTTTTATTAAGTTACAGCTTCGAGAAAGGAAAATGTACTGGTTTCTGGATAAGCGGCTGAAAAAAAATATAAAGGTTTAGCTATGTGTGTAAATTGCGACAGGCATAAACTAAATAGATCTTTTAAATGATGAATTTTAAGAGAAGGCATGTTTTAGGCAGCAAGAGATTAATCTGTGAGCTTCTTGCCCTGGCACGTGGTGGATTTGAACCCTCCTTGCTGGTCAAACTGGGACACTCCCAGCACTGCCTGCCACACTTTGCCCACCCCACTCCAAATGTCACCTCTGAGGCCCAGCCACGATGTCCAGCCATTTATATTACTTTTTTTGTTGGGATAAACTGTGCAGAATTAGTGATGTGAAACTAAATACCACTGTTACTTTTATTTCGGATGTGAGCCAAAATCTGAACCTGCATTTTCAGAGAGAAATGCATTTTTAAGCTCCCTTTCCTTTTGAAAAGCACCAGAATTAAAATAGTTCTTTTTAATACTGATTCTTATCTTTTGTGTCAACATTTCTGAAGATAAATGAATTAATATTTTAAAAACAAGCGTACATGTTTCAATGGAAAACCTGATGTGCTGTAGTAGAGCTGATCAAAAATGTTTGAAAAAATAAGGAAGAAAATAAGAAACTGTAAAGAAAAAACACAAGTCACCACTCTAAAATTAATTCATCCATAACTATGAACTAACTATAAAGTGGATCAGAAGGTTTTGAAGGTTGCTGAGATTGCAAAACTTGAAATTCTCAGACAGAAGTAGCCTTTTGCAACCTAAGATTGCCCTTTCTCTTCCCATTTTGCCTCAGCTGGGTTACTAAGCATCACACAGAAACACAGAATCACATAAAGCCATTTGTGCTTGGGATTGTCCTGACCCACGTGCAGGGATACCCACATCCTCATCTCTGCTGCTCATGGAATGTTAGCAGTGTTTGAGACTTAAATGCTGATACACTGCTTAAGTCTACAAGACTTAAGAAGAAATCAAAGGCAGCAATATTAATATTCTGTGCAAATGTGAAGAAGCCATGAAAGCTTTGTTTGTTGCTAAAGAAACCAACTAAATCAAACAAGTTGAAGAAAACAAAGACTTGTATAATTGTTTTAATTAAAACTACTACTTATTCCAGAAAAAAATGCAGCACAGTCGTGCTCTCCAAATGTTTCTTGCTTAGACTTGCATGCTCAAAAACGATGTTTAATAAGTGAAATAAAACATTGCCAGCCATTTTCCAGTCCCCTTTGACACAAAAGCTCCAAAACAAATTGCAAGAAACCCATGCAAAACTTTGTGATGTTTACTTCAGATTTTATCCAAGAGGAATTTATGGAACTTGCCATTCAACTCCGAAAGCATGTTATCTCAAATGAAATGTAATGCTTCTTAAATCTTCAAAGAGCATCATGGCATTTAGCCATAAAACTCACTGTGACTTTAGACATTCAAAACCAGCATTACTGCCACCATCAGACTGCCCTATATGGTTATTTTAAGTCTTCATGGGCACAAATTTGCTTTTTTGGGTCTGGACCCTCTATACATTCAGTCTCTAGTAAATGGTAGAGCAGCTGCTTTGCCTTTCACTGGCTGCTTATCCCCTTCACCCCTTCCCACTCCACAAGATTATTTTGGCATCTCAAAATAAGTCAGATGCAGAAGGGATCGTTGTAGTTTCTCATCTCCTGGAACCAAGCCTCTGCTTTTTAATGCGAAGTATGAATGGTATAAATACATCTTAATTTTAATTGAAGGAGAATGTCTGACCTTTCTACAAAACAGTGTCACATAAGGTTCCTGTATTTCTTGTGACCTTTCCAATGCTCATTAGGCTGTTAAGCATGCAAGTTCAGCTTAAATTTGAAATATTTTGTCTTCCTCGAATATAGACTGGCTTTCACTGCAAAATTTGGTCCCACATTTCACTGTTGGTATATGAATCCAGAACACTGTCACTGTGTGGTAAAGAGGCAGTTATAAAATCTGAACCACACTTGCTTTCTCCTCTCAGATAATCTGTTCAGATACTACAGTTTTTCTTGAGCCTTTCTTTTATCTTCTTTTCTCAGCACTCTGGGAGCTCTTTATCTTCACCAATACTTGGGTTTGTGTATGTGTATGTTGGGAACCATTTATGGTGTGTATTAATTCGTTATGTCATTTCAAAAATCTTAATTTTTTTCCATGCTTCCTAAGCGTTAGCATTTTTAAACTTGGGAGAGGAGGGGGGTGACTACTAGAAATATCCTACAGGAAACCATAATTTATCAATGAAAGACTTGAAATTTTCTTCTAAACGTGTTATGTTGACCTCTTTGGAGACTGTAAAGAAGCTTATGGTAACAGGTCTTTTTTGTCTTTTCTTTCTTTTTCTTTATTTTCCAGTGACTGAGTGACTGAAATAATTTGAAGTCTGTTTTTGCTAGAACCTGATCACCACCTGTTTGAGTGAAGAAACTGAGGACTGTTTGAAAGTAATGCCTTTGGCAACACATACACCTTGCTCAGTCTGTCTCACATCTTTGTCTTATCATATAAAAGGCTTTTCCAAGCGTTGCCTGAGAACAGTGAAAACCTCATTATGAGCTGAAAACTGTTGGGGATTTCAATGTTGATAATGAAAATCTTATTTATGGAATTGCTGAATAGGCATATACAGTCTAAAAAGCAACAGCCTACTAGACAAAATAATAATCCAAGGGAAAAGGAGTAATGTAATTACGTCATTCCTATTTTATGATGGCTTTTTCCTTGCATGGTCGTAATGAGAGAGAGTCAAAGAACTGTGAGATGCAATTGTTTCTGGCATCTCCCAGCCTGATTTCAGAACTTACATGGGTTTCCCATGTCCGGTTGACATTTTGGTAGTATGCAAAAGCCGTGATCTGTTAGAGACTGCTGAAGATGTGGATGCATTTTTCTGCTCAACGGCCTTTAGGCTCATGTAAGAAAAAGTGTGAACTCCCAACAGCAAAGGAAGAAAAAATAAGTATGTTTTCTAAAACACAGGCTAGGTCCTCTCAAGAGTTGTGTTGTCTCTGTACTGCTACAGAGGCATGTGTGGCAAATACAGCCCTTCTGTGACTAAACCCATCAGATACATGTGAAGCTGAGACATGTTTAACAGGGAGATGTGTGTTGTAGGGGAATAAAGGCTACACAGTTTTCCATCTCTACTTCATTACATGCTTTTATTCCACTGAAATCAGTAATCATGTCAGAACAGAGCTAGTAAAATATGATGGGAAATAAGGGCCTTTAATACAAGCCTCTCTGCCTGTCTGTCCTTTTATAAGGCACCTCCCCACATAGTGTCTGAGTGCAGAGTTCCTCACCCTCATCTGATTTAAAACTTAAAATGGGTGCGGTGAAGACTTACCGTCCATAGTAAACTGCTCGAGATGAATCAGCTGTTCAGATTAGCCTCACAGAAATGATAATGGGGCTCTGTGTTCACAGCTGAGTTATTTAAACTGTCTGATTTGGTCCACAGCTTCCTTGGACATTAATAGGTTGACTGCTATGTCGCTGAACTTAGTGCATGGAAGGTCAGCCTTTGAAAAGCTAAATAAGGTAAGTGCAAACTGAAGCATGTTCCAGGCGATACTGCGCACTCTAAATGCACTTGAAACCCCTAAGAATCACTGCTGCTCCTTAGCATTTCTCCATATCTGATTTCAAAGTGGTAGATCCTTGGATCGATGCTTTGGTTTTGATCTCTCATCCACCAGGAGACTCAGGGGTTGCTCACATGTTACAAACATATGCTCCTCCTGATGCATCTTGAGCAAAGCGGATTGAAAACTTCTTAGAAGGCAGCTTTTCATCAGCAAACACAGACTTAGATGAATTGGAAAGATTTCTCAGGACTACAGCAGTTTTGCTGAAATTGCTGAGAGGGAACATTATCAGGCAAGGACACTGCTCTTCCATAAAGATAGAATGCTTCATTTGACTTTTGTTTGATTATATTGTAAATTCTGACATACTGTTGTGAACACCTTGAAGCCATTAAGGCAAAATGAAGAATTCAAACAGTATCAAGATGAAATGTTTTCTACTGTCCCAAACAAAGCACAATTCAGTTTAAGTATCTGTGATGATCTCTACATTGTGGCAGTCTCATTTTTGTGATATATGTCATCATTTAGATTATTACTCCTATTTGAAAGAAAAGCAAATTTTGGCATGCTGATGTTTCCTCCAGACCCAGCAGCCCATGAGAGTGATTGGAAAAGTCAGAGTAAGAGCATCTCTCTTCCCTTTCCACAAGCCCTCTCTTTGATGCAGGACCATGGCAGGGGGGAGAGGAGGGAGAAAGATAAGAGTTAGTTTGTCATCTATAAATAGAGACAGCCCTTCACACTCACTTTCTTGAGAAGTCTTAGAGCACTAGGGGAAAGGAGAACAGAATAAATCGAAGAGATGCTGGGAAAGTTCTGAACATTTCAGAAATGTTCAAAAGCAGAGTTAACTCCGGCAGTCCAAGTTTAGAGGCTTATTCTTTCAATAGACACCATGAATTAGTTTCTCAGGTTTAATTCTGTCCCATGTCTACCAGCTGGAAGGTTTGTTGAGCAATAAGCATAAACGTTTGTAGAATGTAAATCTCTGCCCATGACATCCTTGTTTTCAACTGATGTGGTTGTGGTTACTGCAAGTTTCTGATGCAGTGGTGCAAAATACCAGGCAGAATCAGCAGCTGGGTTCAGGCCTAGATTTTTAGATTGTGGGAGTTACAAGCTGAAAAAAATTGTTGGGAAGTTTAGCAAAGGTGGGTTGTCATCACACTTTGACCTGATATGGAATAAAACTGTCCACTGCTAAGGGACTTAATAGCAAAGCTGTCAACATTACTCAAAAGTATTTTTAAAAGAATTGTTTTATAAGGACTTCACTGTATTGGATTCCTTCCTGCTTGCTTTTCTTTTTTTTTCCCATAGGTGAAGAGGATGTAGAAAATAGACCTTATATGGAAAACTGTGAACTCTATGGTGGCATCTGTATTAAAGGATCATTTTGTGGGAGGTAGGCAACTAGGCCATTGCTGGTGTTGATTAAAAACAGTCTGATCTTATGTGAAAAAAAAATAACAAAAAGCCTGTCCTCTAAACCAACAAGCAAGTGATACCCAAGCCAGGAAGCTCAAAATCAACAAAATAAACCTTATTCCAAAAGCTGGGTTTGGTTATTAATTGACTGATTTCCTACCAATAAGAGCACACTTTCAGGCTGGTGGGCTTGATGAGAGGTACTTGAAAGCCCAAACTGAACAAGCATGTGAAATATTTAAGGCCACATTTTTATATTTATTAAAAACAGCCTAAATAATTAAACTAGTTGATTCACTAGTGGCTTTCAGGCTCATGCCCAGAGTGAAAGGTCATGACCTGACATACCAGGGCCCCACTTGGTACCGATGATTGACAGGAAAAGGAAATAAGTTGATATCTTTCACGTGGGAATCACAGCTTGTAGCAACTATGAGCAAGTGGGCTATTTGGACTTTGTGGGAAAACTTAATTGTGTTATTATTCAAAATCTTCGTTCCCAAAGTTGGTTCAATGGTGATTTATTTACTTATGTGATAAAACAGCTGTGTACTGTAATAAAATACAGGTCACTTGCTGATGTTTAATGCACAAAAGTGGGGATATGTTTGGTTTCTTTTACTTTGAACTTACAATCACACTAGGCAGCAGGGATGACTTTGAATTATTAGGAATTTTCTGTTAGTGTATTGGAAATAATTAATGTTCTCATTGTACTATATATTCTTCAGTGCTTGGTTATGGAGAAGGAGGAAGGCACCAAACACTGAAATATGAGCGCCTCTCCACCATATGCTTTCATTATTTCTTTATAATGATAAAAAGGGGCTGCATTGAGTGCCAGACAATGTCATGGCCCCAGAGATTTCAGTGGCCTGCAGAAAAAAGAAGAAAAAAGCATTTATGATATGAATGAGGATTTGAAATGGCTTTTTAAAAAAGGCCTAAGATCCACTTTCACCCTAAATTCTGAAATCACTTGAAAGATGTCTAGATGCGAGTTTGAAGAATAGCAACTTTCCACCAGGCTCTGTTTTATGTGCAGTGTTGCTGCCATCCTCACCAGGCTTTGTTACAAGGTCACATAATTGTACCAAGCAATAGGGCACAGTCTAACTTCACATATTGTCTGATTTGTTGTAGCAATGAACCCTGTCATCTTTATCCAGAGTACATATTCTTCTTTACCCCAGTCATTTACCAGTTAGCCAAGTGATGCTCGTTTTGTTTATCACTCTGAGGTGAGAAGCTCAGGGGGTTTCACACCAGCTGCCCTGTCATTGTGCCTTTCTGCTCCTTCCCCAAAGCCTGAGGTCTGGGGGCAGTGTGAACTGTGCCAGACTGCAGCTCCATACCACACTCCAGGGATTTTCTATCCTTTTGCAGAAATGCCATGCACTGCCAGTTCCTGCAGGATTGTGTATGGGCTGTTGGATGATAAAAGTCCCATTAAAGTCAGAAGTAGTTTTGCCCCAGGACAGACCATGATGGAAAAGGTTTGCACGTTTCAGCTCGGTGTGACACAACAGTTTGGGTGATAAAGCAGGCACTCCTGGCATTTCCCTCAGACTATCTCCAGTATAACTTCTTTTCCTGGTCTTTCCTCCTATCTTATTCATGGTGTAGAGCAAAGCAACTCTGCTTGGGAAGCTGTGGAAACTCTACCACTCATAGCACAGTCTCCGGGAGAATTTTAAGCCTGAAAATAATCTGATCCTAACACCAATAAACAAGCCTGGTTACACAGTAAATCAAGATAAAGGTTGCTTCACAGAGTAAGAGCTGGTGGCATTTCTTTTGCATTGTTTTGATGTTATTCCTTTATATTTAACATTGGGCAATAGTGCATGGTATTTTACAAATAGGATAGACATCAGATCCTGCCGTAGGAGTGCAATTCTGCGATAAGTAAATTATAATTACTGGCTGAGAAATTAAATTTAAAAACAAATGGGTCCGGGGCAATAACATACTCAAAATTGAAGATCTTTCTGCAGCAATACCAACCTGCTTCCTCTGAACATTTGAGCAGAAGGAGGAGCTTCTCAGGAAGCTTCAGGTAACTACCTGTCTTGAAAGCAAAAAGCCATGATTAACCAAATCCAGACATTTTCTGGAATTTATTCATATACAAAATGGAGACACTACAAAGAGAAGACCAGTTATCACCGGAGCTGTCAAAGAAGTTCCAGCTGCAGATGTGTGGAAATGTGTCCACTGTGTTAGAGGCTACAGTCTGAGCTTACATAGCCCATGAAAGTGTTTAAAAATCATGATGACACTGGTTTAGGTCTGACTTTGTCTAGATTCAGCCTGAACATCAAGAGGCAAAAGGCTCTCTATCCCGTGCCAATTCTCTGATCTTCCTATTCCCCTCCGCCTCCCCACCTCCAGGCTCTCTGTCTCAGCAGCTCCCTGAAGTGAGCACCATGACATGAATCTAGAAGTGAAGAAGCCCACAACTCTTCAGAAAAGAGCAGTTATTCTTAGCTTTGTTTTGCTGATGTTTTTCTTTCTCCCCCCCCCCTTTTTTTTTTAAGAAAACAGAAAGCCTGCCAAAATTTGGACTCTTTGATGTGCTTTGGAAAGAAAAACAATGCTATCTATCCAAGCCCTCTGAAAGGAACATAAATATGTCATTTTTAAGACATGAATTACTTGAGAGGAACAATCAATACATTTCACAATTAAAGATGGTCAAGAATTTTTTAATGTTTTGCTGGAAATTTTTTATTAAGAAATTTTCAGAGACTTTTACTGATTTCAACGAAACTTTCTTTGGGAAAATTTCCTGAATTATATTGTAGGTGAAAGGCAGGAGGGGGAAGAAGGAGAAGGACACTGATATTTGCTGTAGAATATTCAATAATCTAATAATATCCCTGGGAAATATCCTAGACCCCATTCAAGCTTTTCTTCTGTCAATTTGGTTTGAGTATGTGAACCTGCCTCATCCATTTTCCTCATCCTACTTTGGAATGAGTAAAAAAACAGGTCATAAAAGCAGTATCTGTTCTGTTTTGTTTATTTGTTGATTCAGTTTTGAGTAGACACTTGCTTTATAAAACTGACTTCGTTGTCTCATAGGAAATTTGCTTTAGATGGAAGCATCCCAGGTTGGAATCTTTGGCCAGTAAATGTAGGGAAGCTTTTGAAACTGCAACCTTAGAAGGCATAACCTGGTAACTAAACTTCTGTTTGCCCTCTATTTTTGAGGTTTTTCCTCCATCACTCCAACAAATCTTGAAAGACCTGATTTATGCAATAAGAGTTTTTGACATTTTTATTAAGTCCAGGCACTTAATAAAGACATTCTTTCTGCAATGTGATTAAACTGAGGTAAAGAAGCACTTGTGCTATTTCTCTCTTTTTATTGAAGTTTTTAACAGATTTCCTTTTTTGCCTTCCTGTGACAGTGCCTGTTGCATCCTTTACACTATCTGCTCTCACTTTCCACAGCAATGGCTGTGTGGGAAATGCATCTGCTTGTACAACTGAGCTTTAAGAGGTTTCTATTTATATCTACTATTTCTAGTCGAGTGTTTTCAAAGAAAAATAAGTAGAAATTAGACGTAGACTGCAAATGACAGGACTCCTTGCTTTAGATTGATATGAAGATGTTTGTTCTCTGACTGCCTATGCTGCAATTTCCCCGTGGATTGAGATGGGTTACTTGGAAAGAAACCTAGAATGCTTTGGGTTGGAAGTGAGCTTAAAGATCATCTCGTTCCAAATCTTCTGCCATGGTAGGAAAGATCACTCCCTACCTCAAGTTCAGACTACTTACTGAGAAAAAGATAAATAGGCCTGACTTTCAGAAGAAGGGTGTTGTGTATTTCTTGAAGGTTTCTTAGTTTGAATTTGAGTGTCTAAAAATTTGAAAGTTCTACAGTATCTAATCACCTTGTGAAAGTCCAGGCCAGGATTTCAGACTTCGAGGACAGCAAGCAAATGCCTTAAATTAGAGGTTTCAATTAGAAAATATTAAATTCTCTTCTGTAACAGGAGATGTTTTAGGAGACATGGGAATAGCCAGGTGGGAGTAATTGGTTTTGGAAGAGTTGAATGTGGGAGCTCTGCCCGGAGCTTTCTTTTATTATGGCTGTTTTCCTTCCACAGCTCAGAAAAACTCATATTCATGCACAGCCTTACACTTCACTGGGATTCCCTGACTCGGAGACTGTCAGCATCAGCTTATTATACAAGCCCTTTGTTTTATCCTATACAATACATCTCGCTCTGCGCAATTTGGCCTCTTAACCTGCCATGAAATATTTCAAGGGCTTGTTGCTGGAAGACATGTCTCTCCTCGCTGTGATTTGTGCAGCCGTGGCTGCATTTTCATGACAGCTTATAATGATTCGTGGTGGGTTGCAATACAATGAACTCATGCTGCAGAACAGCACACTGAAAAAGATCTTTCAAATTATTGTTCCGGTGCAAAAGGTGCCCAATCACCTTCCACCTGCGGATTAGTTGGTTGCTATAGGAACACACTGTAGCTTTTCAGTAGCTCTGCTACTGTAGTGCCCAGATTACTGACTCTGACAAACACAATAGGGGAAAAGAATCACGGGTTATTAGTGCTGCTGATGATGTGGTGTTATAAACCTGGGGTGGCATAGAGCGGATGAATAGAGCAACAGCCTTGAAATGCGAAGGACAGGAGGAGGAGAGGGAGCAGAGTGAAGTGGAGCTAAAGTCACCGCTACGGAAATGTTGTCTTTGATCTTATTTTCCACTCTGAATAGATATTTTCATAATATAATGCCAAATGCAAGCAATGCTGTAACTGATGGCAGAGCCACTGGTCATGTCTTTATGTTAGTAGGGGGCTACTCCTCCCTCCCTTCTCTTTTCTTCCAGTGAGTACTGAAATCTGAACCTTTTCATTCCTGCAGGATTAACTCTGACCAAGGTCAGAGCAACTAGTCACCAATATTCTTCACGGGTGAGTCCGGCCTCCTGCATCCCTGGAAAATATCACCTGAAACATCCACCTACACACAGGACTTTAACAGGGAATTTTGCAGTGTCAGAAACAGGTAGTGAAGAGCTGAGGTCAGGTCTCTGTCTACTCTGGTGGCCATAACTGAGACTCAGGAGTTTACACCGCTGAGCACCCTCCTGCAGAGAGAGCTGCCTGTGTGCTTCATAGGGGAGAAATAACTGCTTGCAGCTCTGATTTGTAGATGGTCTAAAACTCCCAGAAATAGTTTCACTACCACTTGTGCTTGGGCAGGGTGAAGCAAAGGAATAAAATATATACTTGTCCATTGCTTGTGTGCCTTGAGCAAAACAAGCTGTGTTTAGTCACAAGTTCACCAGATGGTACTCTGGGGGTTATTGCTGTTATATTACATTACTGCAATATATTAGACAAGGCATAGTGATTCATTCTCTCTCCTCATCGCTTTTGGAGGCTCTGTTTCCCTCCCTATGGAAGGACAGCTGACCCTGCTGCTCATGGCCCTGGAGACCCATGTAGGCTCCTGTTGGTGCCCGTCCACCATGGACAGGAAGCACCAAACATTGCAGCACCAGTGACAGCACCAAACATGACAAAAGATGTGGCTTGGACTCATCTCTGTGCCCAGAGAAGTGACTCCACTTTCTGATTAGCCAGATGATTTGTAACATTATTTTTTTCAATGCTGACTGCCTCCTCCTTCCTTCTGTATTCCTACCCCACTTGTTTTGCATTCTCACTGGACCCTCCCCGACCTCATAATTGGACCCATGTGACCCTCTGAGCTGGGAAATGGAATTTCTCAACCACTTGTTCACAAAATGGACTGGAGTACAGAGTTTGCACTGTACTTTTAGAGCCCAAGAACCATCAAAACACCACACAGAGGCATTGTTTGTCTCCACTTCTGCCACTCTGTAGACTCAAACCCTCAGTCAAGTGAATTATGTGCTGACTGATACCTAAGAGCCCATGCTGGATTGATGCCACATGTACATGCAGGGCATAGGTGCTGCTGCTGGTCAGCTGGACGGCCCCTGGGACCATCTGGCACCCCTCTTTGGCCTCCCTGTCTCCACTATTATGTTCACTGACCAGCTGCTTTTCCTCATTGCCCTTGACAAAGCTTCCCAAGCCACCATTTCCCTTTGCTACGAGAGGAGACAAAGAAATGTCGCAACCGTTCTCCCTCTCCCAGTGGCCTTGAGCTTCTGGTGCCCCAAGGGCCTGCCCTGGTTCACAGGTTGCCTTCTGCTCTCCAGCACTGCTCTCACAGTGCCAGGACACTGACTTTAGCATCCCCAATGCCTTCTTGCTCTCTCAAGATTATCTATTTTACTCTCACAAATTAATGAATTCATGAGCAATACAAGGACAATCGATGACAAAACTTGCCTGAGGCATCTGAAGGAGTGAGGAAACAGGTTGGTCTGAACATGCTTGGATCAGAACTTTACCACAGGTGTTACTGTAATTTCAGGCAACTTGAAAACTGCAAGTTGGGCCCTCTATCACTTAGATTATGCTTTTCATTTTATGAGCCTCTGGAGGAAAATTAATTTCCTGGGCTGAACTTCTGCCTGCAAATTTAGAGGGACAGAGCACACTCTGCCTGTTTAATTTTGAGTGGCTTTAAATGGAAATGGAGAGAGGCACCTAACCAGGGAAGTATGAAAACGTAGGTCCAATAAAATAATGGGAAAATCTTCCATCACCATCATCATAGGTATATATGACCCTAGCAATGCTCAGGACTGCTGTGGGAGCAACACTCCTGTTATGCCTTACTTTTTTATCAACAATGTTCTCCTCCACTTTGACGTCAGCTTCAAGATTGCTTGCTATGATGTGCTGCACCTTTCATATTTTCTTTGCAGTCATAATATTGCTTCAGCTGTAACCTCAGCACTTTGAGGAATAATTGTCCCTGACAAGGGGGTGAATCACTGGCAGAGAGTTGATAAGCATTACATACAGATGACAGAAGTCAGGACATATCGGATTACTGCTGTGAATATAATAAAAGAGAGCCTAAACACTTTGGCAGCTCAAAGACAAGCCATTTCATAACTCTCTAGTGGG